GAATTTTCTCTGGCCAACTTCATTATGAACTCATGTAGTTTTCTTCAAAAGTTGATCATTAATAATTGAGATGCTATTTTTTGTTATGTTTTGATATATTGTTAATTGTTGTGGCCAGAAAAAAAAGATATATTGTTAATTGTTAATTGGCTCTTTATTTTTGCCCCTGCACATGTAATTACATTATGCTTGATCTTCAGGTGGTGATCCGTGAAATTCTTCTATTGGCATTGGATGACTCTCACAAGAAAATCTGCACAGCTATCAGCATGGCTGTGGCATCTATTGCAGAATATGACTGGCCAGAGTTTTGGCCAGACTTGTTACCATTCCTCTTGAGGTTAATTAGCAATCAGGCCAACTTGAATGGAGGCAAGCATTTCTTGTAATCAATCTTATCTGGATCCAATGTCAATAGTGTCAGTGAATCAGAACAGCATTAGTTACTTGCTGACAGTTTTATGGATTGATTGGTGCTATTGAAAAATGTTTTGGAAACTTTAGCATTCTGGGGTATGATTACAAATCAAATATTGTCATCTCAAATATAAAGCCATGATCTCTTTGTTAGAGGTTCCTTACTCTCCTGGCCTGTTTGGGTAATCCTCAAAAGTACATTCAAACCACATCTGGGATGTGCTTTTGCCAAATCTTGAAAATGGACTTTTACTAGATGTAAATTGAAAACCAAACACACACTCCATCTTTCTTTTTCCCTGTTTCTGATTGTTTGATATTTTTGAAAAATTAAGAGAAAGTAGAAACCATTTATGCACTGCCAAAATCTGCCACAGCAGAAAAGATGTGCTGATTAAATTTTAAAGAAAATCAGAGGTGTTAGGATGAATGTGTTCTTCCTTAAATTAAACAGAATTTTTTTTTATCAATTGTGTCATGTTTTCTTCTGACGTTTTTGTTGTTATTCTGTATTTGTCTTCTGTTTTCTTTATGTTAATTCATTTTCTCTTTTTGAACATTTTAGTGTATGGAGCCATGAGATGCTTGGCGCTTCTCTCTGCAGACTTGGATGATCAAATAATTCCAACACTAGTACCTGCTTTGTTTCCATGTTTGCTTACAATTGTATCTTCTCCCCAGGTCATTTTTTGTAAAGTTACCTATAATCTCAAGTTGACCTGTATTTTTACTTCATTTATGTTCACTTATTATTGTGTCAATTTTTTTTTTTGAATATTTTAAGATGAAGGTTACAAAACATGATTTTACACAATTATTAGGAGGAACACTACTGTGCAAGCATACTCTTGCACTCTTTAGTCTGTCTCTGTGACTGTGTTCACGGAGGCCTATAGTTATATTTTGAAAATGAAGATGGGACAAAAAAATAGATGTTAGAGTGTTCAGTTTATTGGGTGAACTTAGCTTGATCTGTTCCCGTTGATGATTTTTTATTGGGGTACAGATATATGATGCATATATACGAAGCAAGGCCATTACAGTAGTATATTCTTGCACTTCCATGTTGGGGACAATGAGTGGCGTCTATAAGGTATTTTCTTTCCTTTTAGTGATGGTGTACTGTTCTGGTAGCTGTTGGATTATCTTCCCCCCCCCCTAATTATTAACTGATCAAGACATTCTGTTCAGACAGAAACAGGAACCATGATATTCCCTATGCTTAAGCCATGGATGGCCCAATTCTCTTCTATTCTTGAGGTTCCAGTTCAATCTGAAAATTCAGATGATTGGGGTATCAGAATGGAGGTTGATCTAGTTCTTTTTGAAGTCTTCTTAACTGTGTGTTCTGTTTTCCCAAGAAATAACAAGTATCTCTCTTCATCAAGGTTTTGAAGTGCTTGAACAAGTTTGTCCAGAATTTCTCAAGCCTTATTGGCAGTGAATTTGAGGGTAAATAATTTGTTCTTTTGTCTAGTTGATATGCTTATACAAATTAAAATTTCCTTTCACTATTTGTTCTCTTATATTTTTTTTCAACATGCTGTCCACTGTAGAAGTATTGCGATCACTGTGGAATACATTTATCTCCTCCTTGAGAGTGTATGAACGATCATTGATTGATGGTATAGAAGGTTCATATGATGGAAGATATGATTCTGAAGGTGCAGAGAAAAGCCTTGATTCCTTTATTATTCAGGTATGGTGGCATAAGCTTATTAATTTCATCATGTTAATTATCAAGGGAAAAAACACTCCACTTCTGATGATATTATGCTGTCATAGTTGAATAGCTGATTTTAAAAGATTTGATTGTTGATAGAGCACAACATCATTGTGCAATCCATGTGCTTGATCTCATCTAGTAGGATAATGCTTGTAATTGTTGTAGTTGTAGTGGTTGAATAGCTGATTTTAGCTGCTACATGGGACATCTTTATCATTCATATGACTTTATATTTCCTTTTAATTTATTATGTGGAAGGCCTGCCCTGATAATATTTGTCGGGTATGTCAATCTATGTGATATGGCTTTTTATCTAGTTTTATGCTCATCAAAAGATACGTCCTTCTGGATTTATCTATAAATTTGTATAGGGTATAGACAATGACTTTAGATTTCCGGCTCCTTTAATTACACTTTGGGGTAGCCTAGCTGAATCATTTTATATCTTTCATCAATCAGGAGTTTTAAGTAATTAACTGGCTGCAGTGTGTCTAAACTAGTGTCCTGCAGCTCCAAATGGTTTTATGCTAGTCTTTCCTTGATTTCCATTCAACTATTTGTTTAACATCCATATTTTTACTTACAGATGTTTGAACTTCTGTTGACTATTGTGGGTAATACAAGATTGGGAAAGGTTTGAGTCTGAACTTCTTAAAACTGTTGTTTCATTTTTTTTTCTTCCTAATTTGAAACTAATTTGACTTATGACTTGTGTTTTTGTTGCTTAGGCTGTTGTGGCAAATGTGAAAGAATTGGTCTACTACACTATCTCTTTTCTGCAAATGACAGAACAGCAGGTATGACTTCCATTTTGAACCTTCTCATTAGTAGTTTCTTGATCATATTTGCTATGACTTTGCTCAGCAGTATCTGATTGGCCTTCTGCAATTTTTAGTCAGACGATATTCAGCAATATAACATGTTTTGCTTGTTGAATGAAAAAGCAAAATGTTGTTATTAAATATCAGTGTCTAATATTAATTTAGTGCAATGCAGACTGACCTCTTTCATTATCTTGACTTGATGACTGCAAATGCAAGAAGTCATTTTACATTGCTTGTAGCAGTCTTTTGTGAACCTGAGCCGATTTATAGTCAATATTTTTAGGACCTATGGTATTATTGTGTGAACATTTGCATAATGAGGGTATGTGTGCACGCACTCAAATCTTGATAGAACAGAGTTACTTAAAGTATTCTAGTTGGTTTTATTCTTCAGATTTACTATATCAGAGAGTATGAACTTGGATTTATATTTGACTCCTATTAACTTGATCCATCAATTTAAATTTTTCAAAATTGATTTGTTCCTTTTCCTTGGCTCATTACTTGCATAATAATTTTTGTCTTTGTTCTCTGTAATAATAGAGCTTACTGTCAACAATTTGTCAATAAGATTGAAGTATGATTAGAGCGTTACCTTTTAGTCTAATCCTCCACACACACACTGTGGCATAAAATTCAGAATTTCATGGAACCTTTGAAGTAACTAAAATAGTAAATTTTGTCCAACGACCATTTTACTGTGTAATAACTTGTATAGATTTTAACTCGTATATATTTTTCAGTGTTGGAAATTCGCTGTGATTTTCAGCTTTGCATTTGTATGAATAATGCTAGTTATTCATGTTTAAGTACGTCATGATTGATTGGCACTAGCTTGAATATGTTTTTCTCCTTCATTTTTTATGGCAAAGTAAAAGAAAACGAATTCTTCTCATCTGATCCCAAGATGAAGGAAAAATTAAAAACTAATGGCATAGTTGTTTTTTCATTAGTCTTGATTTTGAACATAGGTTTACTTAAATATTCCATAAATGGAAGTTATGGACGCATATATTGGTGCCATTTTTGTGGTCTATATGCAAGGCTATGTCTCCTTTTAAAATCTACAAATAATTCCTTGAATAATTTTAATACTGTTATTTGGGAATTTTTTATTCTCTCTAGGTTCATACGTGGTCAATGGATGCGAATCAATTTATTGCTGATGAAGATGATGCCAATTACAGCTGCCGAATTTCTGGTTAAGAATCCCCTTGAAGATTTGACATATCAGTTTCAATTTCTTAATGTTGGAAGTTCATTTCAAATTGATTTGATAATAGTTTTAATCATTGTGGAAGATAAATCATTATTCAAATTCATATTTTGATAGATTTCAAAACTTTTAAATAACATTAATTTTATGAGTAAATACATAAACCTCCTTTGGTTTTTAGGAAAATACGTTACAAGAACTTCTTTTCAACTTATACTGCACTTTAGTCTAATTTTAATCTTTTTACTAAAATGTCCTCCTTGAACATAACTTTGCTTTTTAGACGAACTTTGATGAAAACAAAATCAGTTTTCTTTTTATTTTAATTTGTGCACGTGTGAAAATTTTACTCTATTTTTATTTTGAAATATTTAGATATTATACATATTTGTATAATTAACTTAATAAAGGGTGGTTCAGTCAAAATATTTAAAACTAAACTAAATTATATATATTTTTTAAAATAGTGGGATGGGATGTTTGTATGATTTTAACAAAGTTCAAGGAAATCCCATTGAATTTACTAGAATTTCATTGGCTTACTCCAGTTATTTATTTTATAATTTTTTATGCTTATATCTATTTTTTCAAAAAATAAAAATAAAAATGGGGAGACTGTTGGAGTTTTTGTCAAATAAGTTATTAGAAAGTTGTTTCTTCCAGGTGCACTTTTGCTGGAACAAGTAGTTAATTCTTATGGCGGTGAGGGAATTCTGGCCATCATAGATGCTGCAAAACAACAGTACACTGAATCTCAAAGCAGAAAAGTAGCTGGCAATGCAAGCTGGTGGAAAGTAAATGCGGAATTTTTTTTTGTTGCATTTTTTCTTTGGGTCTAATATGTCCAATATGTGATATGATATATAAAATTTTGACTAGGCTCTCAAAGTAAGCTTCTAAATGTTCTGCCATGTCTCAATCATCATTTTTTGGCGTTTTCCTCTCTGTTTGCATATATGCTCAGTCTTTGACCCCCTTTGTATAAGAGGCAGATTTTGCATATGCATCAAGCATTTCATGAAAATTTCCTATGAATTTGCATTCTTTAAATTCATTTCAACTTTCCAAGTTGTGACAATATGTAATTCATGGCAGATAAGGGAGGCTACTCTTTTTGCATTATCATTTATTTCTGAGCAACTGTTGGAGGCAGAGGTTTGGGCATTTTGGCATTTTAGTTCTTGATTATCATTAATATATTATAACTTTTTTTTTTTTCCTGTTTTAGTTAAGAATTTGTTTTGCGGTGGTGTTCAAATTTCATATTTCCTATGTTATCTATACAGGATTCAGGTCTAGTAGCAAGTGGCTTTCACCACCTGGTTGAGCAGATAATCACTGAGGACTCTCTAATAGGTTACTCATTAATTCTTTCCTCGCCTGCCATGGGCTTCCATTCTATGTAATACATACAATTGTTTTATATTTCCTTTATTGATGTTTCTCTACATTTTTCCCCCCACACTCTTGGCAGGTTCTCATGAATACCCCTTTCTTTATGCTCGTATTTTTGCTTCAGTTGCTAAATTCTCCTCCATGGTAACTGTTAATTTTTCTAATTTATTATAGTCCAATTTCTTTCTTTTGGTCTTCTTACTTATTTTATTGTACAGCTAAGCAGTGGTGTTCTAGAACATTTCCTTTATGCAGCAGTGAAGGCAATCACAATAGATGTGTGAGCGCATTTGTCCTTTGGTAGCTTATATTTTTCTTGTAATTTGCCTTCACTTACTTCTAATTGTAATAGGCCTCTGCCTGTGAAAGTTGGTGCTTGTCGTGCACTTTGCCAGCTCCTTCCTGAAACGAAGAATGAAATTACCCAACCACAAATGTTGGGTTTATTTTCATCTCTCTCGGAGCTTCTTTCTCAAGTACTATGCAATATTATATCTTTTTACTAGTACTCATTTTTTTTTCATTTGGTAATCATCTTAACATGATTTTCAGGCATCGGATGAAACCCTGCACATGGTACTTGAAACTTTGCAAGCAACAATTAAGGCAGGCAAGTTTAGATATTACTTGGTAGTAAATACCAAAATTTTCTAGTTTCTCTAGGTTTGTGTGTTTTTTTTTTTTTTTTTGGTCAGCTACTATTCCTGCGTTGATGCCTATATTTTTGCTCATTATAGGTCATGAATCATCAGCGTTTGTGGAGCCCATTATTTCTCCTGTTATCCTTAATGTATGGGCATTGCACATTTCAGATCCTTTTATCAGTAGTGATGCACTTGAGGTTCTTGAGGTAACGGTCTTTAACATATTATTTTTAGAAGCTATTATCTGCTGTGTTTTCTTATTGATGTTGGCATGTTATGTTAATTATTTGTTATGACTCATTTAAGCTCCATATATTCTGTATCGTCTAGGTTCACATTTTCAGACCTTGGCAACATGATTATAGATGGTTTTGAGATTCACCTAACTATTGTTATTTTCCCCAGGCCATCAAAAGTATACCTGGATGTTTACATCCACTGGTTTCCAGAATTTTGCCATATGTTGGACCAATTTTAAGTAAAGTACGACTGATTAAAGCTGTTCTAATGTTAGCGTAGAATAATAAATCTAAGTATTGCTTTCTGATGCACCTTTTTTTCCCTTATCAGCCACAAGAGCAGGTTGATGGTTTGGTAGCTGGGTCATTGGATCTGGTAACAATGCTACTAAAGGCAAGTTTACTTGATTTAAAGCATAATTTCTTTTGACTTTTGTCAACTCATGATTTGCTGATTTGTGGTTTCTCATCACATGTTACAGAATGCCCCTCGTGATGTAGTGAAAGCAATATATGATGTTTGTTTTGAGGCCATGGTCAGAATAGTACTTCAAAGCAATGATCATAGTGAAATTCAGGTCATGCAGTTTTCCATACATGCATGTATATCTGAAGACTTGAGTTGTAATATTTTGGAGGCTATGTTTGGTTCAAATTAATACGTCTTCTGATAGCTGTACTCTGCAAAGTAGAATTAATTGGCATCCATTAACTCAACTCAACACTTAACAGAATGCCACAGAATGTTTAGCTGCTTTTATATCTGAGGGAAGACAAGAAGTTCTTGCTTGGGGATCTAATTCTGAAGCAACTATGAGAAGTTTACTTGAAATAGCTTCAAGGTAGTTTGTAATTATTTTACATTGCTTCATAAATACCATCATAATGCAAGCATCCTTTTCGAAGGAGCATGGCATCTGTCTAGTCAATACTGATGGAAAAGAAATCTTATGAAGGGAATCAGTTCTCTGCTATGCTTTTTACATTCAACCTTCCATATCATGGCACCTATGTATATGCATCCTAGTAGAACTTAGATGAACATAGGCTGTCATTAATAGAAGAAGGGTTTAGTGATATAAGGAATCAAAATGAAATAAGGCATTATATTCCTGGTGGTCTTCACTTTGATTCTCATAGTCTTTACAAGTGGGCTTTTTTAATTGTTTCTTTCCTTCCCTATCCATCAATTTAGAAATCAGAATTTTTCCCTCTATTCTCTTCATAGAATCCTGATGTTCCAAATGCTGTGTTTCTTGGAATTTGGGGCAGGCTTCTAGACCCAAATTTGGAAAGCTCTGGATCTCTTTTTGTTGGGAGTTACATTCTTCAACTTATATTACATTTGCCGTCACAAATGGCAGTACATATACGCGACCTGGTTGCTGCTGTTGTCAGACGTATGCAATCTGCTCAAATTGCTTCCTTGAGGAGTTCATTGCTAGTCGTTTTTGCCAGATTGGTAATGTAACCAAAATATCAGATTATTATGGATTTCTTATACAATGTGTAGAAAGTGGGTAATTGTATTTGTTCTTTCAAATGATAATTGGGGAAAATTATGTATACAGATCTTTCTACCATAAATGGAAACATATCTTCATACAATTGTCCTACCCAACAGTTGACTCCTAGGAATAAAGCTATAATTACATGATTGTCTATCCGTTTAAATTATACTGATAATTATTCATCCTCCTGAACAATCTCCCCCAGATCTTGTGATAACTCCCACATTTATGCTTCAGCATTTTCCTTCATCATTCAATCTTGTTTGACACTACTGTGCGAATGAAAACTTTTGACATCAGAGGCCCTGTCTTTAGATTCCCAGAGGGGTTTGTCACTGAGGAAATTCTCCGTATTCAGTGAGTGGCTAAGAAATTGGGAAAAGAACTTAGATGACCGCTACTGCAATGGGACTAGAAAAATTTGTTTAGTCTTTTCTGCGTTGGGAGGTCCTCCGTTTATGTATTGTTCTCTCTTCTTTCTAATAAAATTATTTTTCAATGAAAAATAAAAAGATTTAAGCTTCCGAATTGACTGATATATGAGTAAAATCAAGGGAATTTATTGTTTTCTATTGTCCTTATATTTTCCTTTTCAGTTTTATAATGATTTAGATTCCCCAGTTACAGGTATTGCTGTAACTCAAATTGCATATAGTTGGCAGAGTCAATAGTAGTTTCTAGGATGCCTTCTCATGCTATCCTTATTATTTTGGCTTAATTATTGTTTTAGGCAATTTGTTATTTGTTTTGATTTTGTCTAAACTTTCAACTTTTGTACCATATTCACCTTTTTCTGTTATATCAAGGACTATTTTGGAACATTATGAAAAGCAAGGGATCACTTTGAAACACTGGAAAGAAATTAAGGTACCATTTTGAAACACTAAATAATGTTAAGGGGTGACTATGATGCAAATTGAAAATGAAGTGACTAAATGAAACAAATTAATAAGTTTAGGGGACCAACATGATAATTAAACCTTTTCCCACATTGTTTGGCAAAAAATTTGTCCACACCGTAGCTCTTGGGGTACACTTTTCAAATATTTCTTTATAACTGCAGGTTCATATGAGTGCTCCTAATGTTGGACAATTTATTGATTTGCTGATCTCAATTCCTGCTGAAGGCCATGATAATTCCTTTGCTTATGTAATGTCAGAATGGACTAAGCAACAAGGTGAGCATCCTTCAGCTGTCTTTTTGCAATGTGATTGGTGTGTTTCAAATTGAGAGTTGTCGTTGCATGGGATTTCTTTAAGAGCATGAATTTCAATTTCTCTATGATTATTGGAAATAGCTTATGGGTTCCCCCTGTGTGGATGGTTGAAACGGTTATTGGAATTTACTAAACTACTCAGGAGAATCCCCTATAATTTATGGCGATAATTTCTGATTTTTTTAAAATAAATTGATTAACATGATTTATTCTTTCACTTGAATAAACGCTTGATATTCCCATGAGAACAGATAGGAAATTGAGATTATAATCTTGTGATTTATGTAGGCTTACAGGTTTTAATTAGTTGCAAGCCTTTTTTTTTTTTTTGGGCTTGTTTCTGCTGTTTATCTATGCTATTATTGACCCAAAAAAATCCTTGCTATTAGTCTATTACATTTACATGTCTATTCACTTTCTTCTTTCTTTAGATGTATTGCTTGCTGCGAGTAGGAAGGATCTACAGATGAGAGAAATATTGTTCAAATTTCTACCATAATATTTACTCCTTAGCTCTCATGTCTTGACAGGCAATCCAAGCCTTTGTTTAGACACCATGCTTGCGTTAAAATCGATTGAGAATTACACTTTGTGGAGTCATTCTGTCATGCGTTGTTTGCTTCATCTGGGGCTCAAACTAGGCTGTTAATTTCCCCTCGTTGGTCTTCTGCCTCTCGCAGCAAGCTTTCTTTCGTTCTTGTGCTGTGTAACTTTTCTGAGAATATGACAGGGCCAACAACAATAACAGATAAAGGAAATGATTAACACGTGAACAAAGAGATAATTCACTGGGTATCCTCTATTACAGAGGGAAAATGTAGAGAATACAACCACTAATCAGCACCTCACACACTACTCCTATTCAATCCTCAATCAAGGACAAAGAACAAAAAAGAGACATCACACACAACCTGGTTTTCGAGAGACCAGGCCCTCTCCACTAACATGATACTACTGTCCTCCCTCGTCTGTCATTTGCTGCCCCTTTTCACACCTCCCACTACCTTGACAAGGTCAGGCACTGTTATTTGTTGTGCCTTTCCCCCTATGCCCTTGCTCACTCTGCTCCTGGTTATTTCTGTTGGGCTTCCTTGTGTAAACACGGCCCCAAAAATGTTGGGAGGCCCAACAGAACTACAATGCAAATAACTTTACTATTTGTAATAGATCTGATGTTATACATGTTTATATAGATATTAGGTAGTTTTTGGCCTTCTTGTATGTTTTGGCTTGAAGGTATTTTTAATTTTTTATCCTCCAACAAGATGCCCCCTCTTTCTAACGGAATTTCTTATTTATTTAAGAACAATAAAACTTGAAGTCCTTATGCTTGCATAACTTAGACCTATTAAATTCTCATCCAAATGCAATCTGAGTGCAGGTGAGATACAGGGGGCTTATCAAATAAAAGTTACTACAAGTGCTCTAGCCTTGCTGCTAAGCAGCTCGCACACTGAACTGGCAAAATTAAGTGTTCCAGGCCATCTAATTAAGGTTATTCTCTGATTCTATGTAATCATTTATTCATTTATGATTTCGACTGTGCTTCCTCATTCTGGAATTTGTTTTATGAAGTCTGGTGTGGGAATAACCACAAGGTCAAAAGCAAAATCAGCTTCGGATCAGTGGATAATATTGCCACTTCCTACAAAGGTATTCCATATCATGATCAGTGTCTTAATATAATTAGGACGGTTATTTATTGACAGAATTATGCTCATGACTTAATGTGTATCCTCTTAGCTCCCGGTAGTTTATGCACACCCCAGTGTGGTGGGGAGTTCCCAACTGAAAGTACTTTTTGAAATGGGGGAACTAACCCATTTAAATGCCCCACAATGCAGCCGATGCCCCATAATACATAATGTTGGATTATTTAGCCCATTCTATCTTGGTCTCTTCTAATTTTGAGGCAGGAGAACTAACTCACATAAGTGTTCCATAAAGCAGCCCATGCTTCCAAATGTAAGACTGAGCAGCTCATATCGCTTTATCAGTAGGAAATTATTACTAAAGTCTCTATTGTCTTCCGTTTATTCCATGATGACTGCTCTACAGGACATTAGTCAGAGTTTAATGGTTCCTTCTTCATACGGGCACGTACGTTGAAACATTTTTATTTGAAATATGATTTTTCTTCTAGAAGCTATAGGATGCTTTTCACTAAGACGTACTGTCTGTGCTACCTTCTGTCACCGTCATGATCAAAGATTCCTGTCATCTTTTAAAGAAGAACATGCATCAAAGTTGAATTTCTTTAGTTATAAATAATTGAAGCTTTATCAAAACTACTATAAAACCACCTTTGTTATATAGCAGTGAATGTTGGGCTTTAATGGGACAGTAAGAGCATAAAGTAAGAGTAACGGAGATGAAAATGTTGAGATGGATGCGCGGACATACACGTAAAGATAAAATCCGAAATAAGCACATGAGAAAAAGTGGGGATAACACCTATTAAGGGGAAAATGGTGGAAAATTGTTTGAGATGGTTTAGACATGTACAAAGAAGACCGTGAGAGGCACTAGTGAGGAGAGTGGAATTGATAACTTTAAGCTTTGTTAAGAGAGGTAAAGGATAGCCAAAGAGAACGCTTTTGGAAATTGTTGATTGAAACTTCTTAGTTAACATCATTTCTAAAAGTTTGGTAAATGATAAAGCACAATGACATTGTGCAATCTTTATAGCCGACCCCACCTTATAGGATAATGCTTCTTGTTATTGTTGCTTCTGGTATATAAATAATTGAAGCCTTTTCTTGATTATGTCCAATATCTTGCAGATAGTGGCTTTACTGGCAGATGCATTAATTGAAATACAAGAGCAAGTTTTGGCTGGTGATGATGAGGTCGTTTACTTACTGATGAGGGCCAATTCCGTTCTGGTTATTGAATCTCACAATTGGAAAACTGGCTGCTTTTTCAGGATGATGACTGGGAAGAAGTTCAACCCGGGGATGACATTGAAAATGAGCAAGGATTTCTTTCTTCCTTGTCTGCTGCTGCTTCAGGGAAACCCACATATGAACATCTTGAAGCAATAGCAAAAGCATTTAATGAGGTTTGTCTGACCTATGATGTAATTATATCTCGTCACTTTTCACCTTCATTGACTGTTTTCATATCGCTGATCACTAATTAAACTTTCTTGAAAATCACAAGGATCAAGAGGATCAATATGAAGATAACCTTTTAAGCATTGCTGATCCCCTTAATCAGGTCTGTGCTCTACATTTTGCTTTGTAATTCACAGGTCGTTTGTTGCATGAATTTGGATTTTTTTCCCCAACAATTTTGATTTTATCTGACAGATAAATCTGGCAATCTACCTCACGGATTTTTTTGGTAACTTGTACCAAAATGATAAACAGTTTTTGGATAACATTTGTCAGGTTTGCTTAATCAATCGTCTAGAATTATTTGTTTTAAGTCGATATTTTATGTTCTTGGTAATATTGAATATGAACATGTGACCTTGTACTGCAGAACTTGACTCAGGCTCAACGAAATGCTATTCAGACGGTACTGCGGAGATGAGTTTTAATGTAATGACCATTCTGCACTCTTCCTGAAGATGGGTTGATAAGACAAGTTACTTGAGCGTTTTAAAGGTGTTCGTTAAAAGAACATACGGATGCTTTCTTACAAATTAGCAGCATGTTATTGGTTTTTTTTTTTTTCTTTTCAAAAGCTTATCTGTATATTTAGTAGGAAAACCTCACGGGAAAGACTAAAACCTGATATTTTTTATTTTTCAGGGTCTACAGCAAGAGATGGTGCCCCCCCCCCCCTTGAATCAACGAACAGATATGGTTGAGAAGGCGTAATCTGATTCAGTTTTTTCCCCTTTTCCTTTTTTTTTTTTTTTCCTTTTAGTTTCTTTTTATTTTTTAAATGTATTTTTCATCAGTTTTGTGTGTTCATTACATTTTCATTCATTCTTGTGCCAGGGCCCTGTGGATGTGTCCTCCAAGGCGTAGATTTATTTTGGAGTTTGGATTGTTCAAATGTGAGTCTGAGATGTGTAATTTATTTGGCTATCCATCATTTCAATGATCAGTTTTCCATTGACATTGGTTATTGCTCTTTGCCAAGTTACCATTTTTCTTTCTTATCTGTATATCACAAGATCAAAGTTAGTAACATGTGATTTGTAATGTAAACAATTGATTTTGAATAATCATGTTGTGTGATCTTTTGAAATGTTTAGTTTTATTCAAATATCTTGAGACTTCAATATGAGGATGTGCCTGATGATGCGTTCCTGTTAGTGGCAGAGCCAGTACTTTTAATGTTAACGAGATGTTATTTTATTAGAATTAGTGTTACTTTCAAATTGGAACACACTAACACAAATTCATGAGGAAATATTTAGCGAAAAAGTAATATGCTAGTGGCTTGAAGGCTGAAGCTTACATCACAAATTAGACCTCTTTTCCAATGTATTTTATGGTAATTCAAGTACTATTATTCAATAGCATAATTTATCAAAGTTATATATCATCCATTATTTATTTATTTTCTTTTATATTAAAGTGGTATAGATAATATGATAGCAAGTCAGTTCACAATTTATACTATTTAATTTGATATTAGAGTTCTGCATCCCACAAGCAGCTTCATCTTTATCTGTATTTTGTTTGTGGTGTTCTCTGTTTTCTTTTGAATGTTTCTTTATAATACTTTTTCATGAATATGGATTGATTTTACATGCTTGTTTTTTCTTGATGTATCATATGTTAATGGTATTATGATTATTTAGATAAAACATGTTATAATTATCTTGAAGACTTTTTAAGCTCTTTAATCTTTTATCTTTTTTAAATTTTAAATTGATTTCTTCAGTTTATATTAGGCTAAAGTAATGTATAATATTGCGTATTGAGTATTCATAATTTTAGAAAATGCTACTTTTAATCCTAACATTACTTTTCAAATAAAATTACTTTAGATGAAGGTAATTATCTTTTTATTAATAAAAAAGGATAAATGAGCAAATTTTGAACCTCTGAATTTGACTTGTATTTTCGTTTTATTATGTTAATATAATTTCTCATTTTTTAAAAAAAAAAAAAAACTGGGTGTTCAGTAATCAGTAATATGCCATCAAGCTGAGGTCGAGCTTAGTCCAACGTGTGAACATTCTTATTCTAACCTTAATAGTTGGAGACTTTTTTTCGTAGAGTTCCAATCGGCGATGTTAATAACGTGAAAGAGTTTCGCCAAAGGAGAAAAACGCGGCTGCGGGAAGTGGAATTACATAAATTTCCTTATTTGAGTCAATGTTTCCATGGACTTAGTCAATGGGAATCGATGATCTCCAACAACCATTGATTTTGTTTTTTGTGAATTTTTTTTAATATTCTGACACACACACACACACACACGAGACAGTCATATATATCGCTTAGAATTATCTCATTTAAAGTGAAAAAATCCATCATTTCTGAATTTTTTTTCCCCTTACCTTACAAGGAGTATGAATAACAAGAGAATATTGGAAATAGCTAATAAATAAGGTTTTTATTTTATAACCATTTTTTGGGGTTTACATGTGTGTTATTTCCTCCCTCCCTCCCTCTCATGCATCTAGTTTTTAATGACTTTTGCTACTTTTAAAATTACTAAAAGCCTCAAAATATTGATTCAAGAATTAATAATTAAAATTTTAGTTGAATCAAGATAAAATTAATCATAAATAAAATATTTTATTAAATAAATTAAGACACTAATTTAACAGTTTATTGACTCAATTGAATAGGTTGACCCAAAATTTTATACTATGTTTTTTCTCCCTTATAATTGTAGGAAGTTGTAAAATTTTTTCAAATATATCCCTAATGCTAACCAGTTATTTTTTCCCCCACATCTGTAATAAATGAGTTTATTATTCCTCCCTTCGTCCCTAAATATTAGTTACCAAAATTACACAAACTAATAAGTTTGTTTGTCCCTAATAATTTTTTTGGAAAAATTATTCTTACATCTCATATAAGCTCCAAAGTTTCATGTCCTTTATTTAAGTTGTCAATTACTATTAAATAATTATTAATAGAGTTACTCAATTGACAATTTGACAATTAAGCAATGATAATTAACAACTATCCGATGTTGGGCAACATGTGAAAAAGCATTTTCTCCCCCTCCCCAAAATATCTCCATATGCATTTTGGTGTTGGGTTCATTCACATTTTCTCTTTCATTTTTGTCATCCGTCTAGTTTTCTCTAATTCTCTCATCGCCTAATGCGGCCAAACATGTCCTAATTCATCCTCTTTGTTCACTAAATCAATCCCAACCTGTTTGGATAATGCCATTTGAAATGTGGTTGTGGGAGGTCGAGTCACTAGTCTCTATGGAAAAATCATAAATAAAAACCTTCGAGCATCACAAATAACTAATCAGAACCACCAAATCATGAAATTAAATTTTAGGATTGTGACCCCCTTTTTATTTTTTGTAGTTTTGAGGTTCACTGGTATTGAAATTATTTTAGTTGAGTTGGAAATTTAGTTTGAAAGGTTTTATAAAATTATTTTATTTGAATTGGAAATATTTTAACTCCCAATTGGCCAGCTTAAAATTTGATAGTGATAAAATCACTTTAATTGGATTGAAAATTTAATTGAAGAGATTAAAAAATTGAAAAATTTTTTAACTCCCGTACTTGGTCTCTAGAGAAACAAAATGTTTTAGTCAAATTATTATTTTTAAAACTTAAAAAAGGACCATGATCCAAAAATTCAATTTTATAAATTCGTGGTTGTGGAATAGTCAATGGCGAAGATTTACGAAACGTGGGACTCACGTGGGACTCCTCAAGCTTCAACAGCCACTGAATTGGCATTCCGAAGATTTTTCTGTAAATAATTTGACATCGGATATTGAATTAATATATTTTCATGCAGTACAGGGAAAATATCATTCAAGGTCTGCTAAGAATATTTAATATTAATTAAGGATTAAAAAATTTAAAAATATCACAGCATGATTAAGGAATTAACTTGAAAATAATTTTAAATAAAAAGACCATAATATCCCTGCCTTTCTTTTTTAATGGATTAGCAACAATTCGTTAATTAACAAGTACTTATTCAAGTTTAATAAGAAATTATTTTTTAATTGATAAATTTAAGAATATGAAAGAGTTTAATTGTGAGATGGGATAAGTGTTTTTAATAAGTTACTATTTGTTGATGAACAAATACTTATTTGTATTTAACAAAAAATCATTTACCAATTGATAAGTTCAAAAATTTAAAAATACTTGATTGTGAGAAGGGACAAATGTATATTATGTTTCAATAAATAGTTATTTATTAATTAACAAATAACTATTCGCATTTAATAAGAAACTATTTGCTAATTGATAAGTTCAAAAATCTAAAATTTGAAAGAACTTGAATTGTGGAAATAAACAAATGTAGATCATGTTTTAACAAGTAATTATTCATTATTTAACAAGTATTTATTTGCATTTAACAAGAAATTATTTTCTAGTTGACAAGTTTTAAAAAATAAAAAGAAAAGACAACAAAGGTATTATAGTCTTTTTTAACATCTAAAATTATTTTCCAATCTGTTTCTTGGTTCAACAGTGATATTTCAGAATTTTGTTGTTGTTGTTTGAGATTAAATTTACTTAGTGATTCTTGAATGATATTTTTTTATTTTGAATTTTCCTTAAAACTATTTTGAGTTATCAGAAAATTCAAGACCATTCTTTTTTTTTTTTCTGGGTAATAGGGGTGAGTTACAAACATACCCACGCACCTATATACATATATATATGAAAAAATATTCTCCCTTCACACCTGTGCTGGGGACTCAAATTTTATTTTTGTTTCTTTTATTATTAATTTGTATAATTTGTATGATCTTGATATGAAGAATTCAGGATGAAGAATTAACCTTTGCAATGAATATATAGCTTGCATGTTCTATAACTTCACATTTTAATGATTTTGGAGAATAATGAGGATACAAGATATATTTTCAAGTAGTTTTAACTTTATCTTTCTTTTTTGTGTTAAGTTTAATTTTATCCTAATTAGACATATATATTTTTTCACATTCATTTAATGGAAGGTAAAAGAGAGAAACTTATAATAAAATACTAATGACTTGATTTATAAATAGGATAAAAAAATTATAACTTTATGCATTATAAATAAGATTGGAGGGAGTTATTTATTATTGATAATAATGCTATAATTGTTTATTTTATTAGTGAAACAATTATTCAAAATGTTCGATTCCTGGTGGAGAGCATCACTTTGAAGATGATAACCCTTTTAAATGATGTTTAGATTCCTCAAGAGATTAGCCTCATAGGTGTTGGCTATAGAGATACCTTAGAAAACTGAAAAAAAATTCAAAATGTTTCATATTATTTATTTCCTTTTAATTGAATCTATAAAATAACTTCCATGCTAAAATAGGAGCAAGACATATAGAGAAATTAGAAAACCAGGGCATTTTAATTGCGTACAAATATTCTCTTACTAAAAACACTATGTAAATATATGTATATATATATTGAATGAATAAACGTGAACAACTTCTTCTTTTCTTTTGCTTTTTGTTTTAATGAATAAATGTGAACATCTTTACCGATAAGGATTGAAAGGACCACGGGAAGCAAAATAGATTATTAAGGAAGTAAGTGAGGAGAGACAACAGAAAAGGACACTTTCCCATCTGAATATCCGAGGACTTTCATAGATTATAAGATTTAATCTATTTCAAACATACACTACAATATTACAGACATTAACCTTATTTGATATATATATATATATATATATATATGACATCCTTGATTAGTTTAGTCTACTGATATTAAATTATAACCCACATTTATTTGTCTTTTCTTTGGGATACAATAATTCTTTCATCCTATGACTCACCGTAGCCACCAGTTATGAGACTCAGAATTATCAGACGAGAATGAAGAAAACTTGAAGAAAAGAACATGATTAGCTCTAATTCCTCTCTCGCCCCCGAGTACTGTTCTAATCCCACAACCCAGAAAGTCTCTACAAAGGGGACAAGTAAAGTTGCTGAACCCAATCCACTGATTCAAACAAAGCCTGTGAAAAACATGGTCACACCTCAGTACTCTAACTTCGTCTCCTTCACCAATCTTGCTCAGACACACTGCACAGTCTTTTTCTTCTCCACCAGCACGCCATATCTCCACTTCTTCTTCTTCTGTA